ATATATATATATATATATATATATATATATATATAAACCCAAAAACCTACATGCATTTTTGTTTGCATTTTCTGGATAGAAGATATATCTCCTGTGCAGAAATCAGCAATTTCTAGGCAAAAATATGTTTTTCTCTGTAGAAAAGAACTTACTGCACAGAGAACAGCTATTTCTGTGCAGAAATGTTATATTGCTCTAAAGAAAAAAAAATAACTTTCCTATACATAAAACAGTAGTTTCTGTGCAAAAATATGATTCCATAGAATCATAGAATCATAAAGTTGGAAGATACCACAAGGGCCACCCAGTCCAACCCCATTCTGCCATGCAGGAATACACAATCAAAGCACCCCCAACAGATGGCCATCCAGCTTCTGTTCAGAAACCTCCAAAGATGGAGACTCCATCACTCTCTTAGGGAGTGTGCTCCACTATCAAACAGCTCTTACTGTCAGGAAATTCTTTATTATGTTAACTGTTTTCTGCACAGAAACTTGTTTTATGCACATATAGAAAAAAATGCCATTTTTCTGCACAATAAACCATGTGCATCTTTTACACAGAACACACCTTGAACTGCAATGAGTCTCTCAATTCCAGAATCTTTCTTGGCTGAGTTTTCTGTCACTTGAGAAACCATTTTTCAAATATTTTTGAATATTCGTTTCATCCTTACCTCTGGCTGATTTTTGACACCTTTTTCTGGGATACTGGGAAATTTTTTTCTCACTTGCCTCAATACACCTCTGTGTGTGTGTGTGTGTGTGTGTGTGTGTGTTTTAAAACCCTCCTAAAGGTAAAAGGAAAGGTATTCCCCATTGACAAGGTTGTCAAGTCGTGTCTGACTGTAGCGGGTGGTTCTCATCTCCATTACTAAGCCAAAGAGCCAGCATTGTCAGAGACTACTCTGTGATCATATGGCAGCATGATCGCACAGAATGCTGGTTACCTTCCCACTGAAGTGGTACCTATTTATCTACTTGCATTTGCATGCTTTCGAACTGCTAGGTTGGCAGAAGCTGGGACTAGTGACAGGAGCTCAACCCATCATGCAGCACCCGGGCCTCGAACTGCCAACCTGCCGATTTTGCAACCAACAGAGTCAGCACTTAACCACTTGAACCACAGGCTAGAAATGTCTGATAGCGAAGATAGAATTGACAGAATATGTTAACTCTTCAAAAGGCCCTTTATTTGAGGTTAATTTGGAGTAAATCCCCAATTGGCAATTGCATTAGAAACACGATTTAACTGGCTCCGTTCTTTTCCACTGAGCATTTTTACCCCAGAAGAACCTTTAGCTGGATCACAAATCACAGCTGTGCATGCAAAGCTTAGAGAACAGAAAAAAGCCTATAATTTAAATATTACATTAGCATGATTTTCCTCCATCCTCTCTTTCTCTCTCCTTCCCCCATCATAATCTCATTAGATAAAAGGCAATTTTGCAAGATGGAGATGAGCTGATAACAACATTGGCCTCGTGAGATTTTTCTGTTTTCCATCCATCAGGCAGGTAATTGTGGGAGTTATGACTTTGTTAGCCTGAAATGTACAGCTCTAAAGAACTGATCACTGAGCTTCTGTGCTCACCAGACAATGGAGCGGCATCCAGTAATTGAATACATCAATAAGCTCTCACATCTCATATAACTATGGCACGCTGGACAGGCTAGCATTAGATATAATCATATTTTGATCAGGAGAAAGCAGAAGTTGAATGAAATAATATCAATTTTTATTTACAGGGCAGGGGGAAAACTGTCCAGTCTCTGATGGGGAAAAAATGATTGTGGCAATATATATATATATATGAAAAATCTGGCTTTGGTCTGGCTCTGGGCTCTCAGTTTTGGTGGCAGATGAGGTATAATTCATTTCCACCAGCTGCTGGTCTGTTTCAAAGTGGAGTCCATTGAGAAGATCCCTGCTTGGAGGAATAAATATATAATCAACATAATAAATGGAGACAAAACTAGTTTGCACTCATGCTTCACAATGCTCCGCCATGACGGCCCTATGGGGACCGCTTGTTATTCAGGGCAAATGCAATTTATTGATCTGCCTCCCCACTTGGGCCAAAGAGCACATTTTGCACGGAGTGTTTGAATCAGCATTTAATTTTTCTTTTTCCTGGATTCAAGTTTTAATAGTGGAAACTTTGTGTTTCGTGTTTCTATTGAGTGACTGAAATCTGCATGACTTTGCAGGGGTGCAGCTATGGGGAGGACAGAGGTATATTTACAGTGAGGGTCCAGAATGAGAGCATTGCCCCCCCCCACAATAAGACTACTGTGTCATCCATGACATTTTCCTTTGTTCTCCAAAGTTCTAACGTTGCAGTAATTAAAAACTTTAAGTGAACATTTGGAAATAGAGTTTAAGCATCTGGAGGAAAGGGGCAGGCAAAATGAAAAAAAGAGAATTCAGATCTCCCTTTGTGCCACACAGTATTGAAATGGGAGATGGGTTTGCTGGCCTCCAATGAAAAGAGACCACAGTTAACAGTATTATTGCACAGAGTACTAAGATGGAGGGGGGGGGGCAGATCCAGAGTCTTTAAGCGCTCTTGCTACCCTCCCTCCTTTTCCTCTTTTGGATTTGGTTTCAACCCACTGTTTCTCCTCTGACACAGTGTAAGTTGGTTGGTGGCTTCAGGATTGGGTAGGATTCCCTGCCCTTTTCTACAGGTTTTCTGCCTACCCTACACTGTGGAGAAGGACTTTGACAATTGGCTTGTGGTAGTTTATTCTATAAGCAATCACTTGCCATATAGTGGGGGCAGAAAATTGGATTTTGGTGAACAGCTCTAGCACCCATCACTGATGTACTCACTTCTTTTGAATATTCAACTGATGTATTTACTTCTCCAGTCAAGTCTCAAGTCTCTACTTTCAAGCCTGAAGAAGAGTCTCAAGTCCTTGCAAGATACTTTCAGCTCAAGTCTCAAGTTGAGTCTCAAGCCTGGGAGCCAACTTTTAACAGAAAAAATAGGAGGTGGGGTGCATTTTCCAGAGGGGAACAGCAAACACATTAAGCAATGGGCTTGAAGCAG